ACATCCCATAAATCGGTAAGATTTTATAGGCCTGCCGTAGGTAAACAAAGAACAGTACAGTAAAGGTAATAGAATACTCGAGCGTCACGACATTGCGAAGTGCCTGCTCTTGTTCGTATATCAAACTCGAGTCAAATCAATCCGAGACGGCCCGAGTGGAGTTTCATGCAAATGTTTCGTACGGAAAAAAAAAATCGCTGGCTGCGCTGGCTGTCAGAGCCATATATATAAAGAGTTGCGACATTCCGCTCCTTGGTTTACGAAAGTCACGTGGTACACACCGTCCATTTTGTTTCATAATCTTCCCGATGAACACATGCAAAGTATATGCGTTACGTACATTGCATATTAATTTCACACACTTAATTGGGTTTAAAATTATATTTTATAATTAACATCACTTAGTATGGACAGCGTATAAGAATTCATATATAACCGAATATTTGCGCGCGTGCGTGCTCGCATAAATTCCGTGCTCGCGTAAATGATTGAAAGTAAAGTTAGAAATGTTTTCAATTATCTTTAATTCGTCACATTTTAATCAACAAAGACTCGACCTATTTTATTTAATGGTAATCTTTTCTTTGGTTTTAATTGTTTTCAATAGTTTTGTGTATAAGAGACAGCAAAGAATTATACAAATTTAAAGCATTTATCAGTTGCATTATTACACTGTTTACGTTCTTTATTAAATTTTTTTCTCATTCGCCTAGATGCGTTCGGAAAAATATTTAAGCTAAATAAGAAAAAAAAAACATTTTTTTTCGCCCTTTTCTGTCGATCTTTAAAAGTTGTTCGCTAAACAATATTAAAATTATTGTTCTTCTTAATTTCAATTCTTTGTACAGCCTGTATAAATACGAATGATAATGAAAAGAAAGGTGATGTTTAATAATCTTAAAATGATTTTCTGTTTCTATTGCATACTATTATATAACTATTATAACTTTATTTTGGAAACGACGCTTTTAAAACAGCGGACACGTTCTTGCAGTGTGTTTATAAAAGTAACATACTGTACAGCCATGATACAATATTAAAACAGAGACTTTTAATACAATAATTAATATACGTTACACAATTACACAAGTTGAATATATCACAGATCCTGTATGTCATTTAACACTCACAATTTATAACATTTACAGCAAAGCACAATTTATATATTGCTATATATATTTTAATACTATTATAATTAATAACATAAGATTTGTATAGGGCTCGCTCATATTCTAATTTAAAGAGCAACAATCTATATCCTATATACGGATTTCAATTACATTTTGATATACATATTTAATTTATTTTTGCTGGTCTTACATATCATTTATTTGCAAAAATAACAGGAGCTTCTTAAGGGTCTATATGGCAGGATTGCCTAATTGAAGAATGCTTGCCATCGAAGGCTCTCTCGTTCTATCGGCGAGGATTAAAGAACTGCTCAAAAATAGTAAATTATTACAGTATTTATAATATGAAATTGGATATAAAGTAGTGAAATCATTAAAAAAAATCTACAGTATAAATAGAGTTACATGAAATTCGACTGCTAAAAAGATGAAATGGAATTAAACTATACAGGAGGCCGCTAACTGTATTTATACAATATTATACACAGGAACGCACATCACGTTAGACACAGAACGCGCATCGCGTATGACACAAAATGGCTTCTAAATTCTCAATGTCGCAACTCTTTCTATCTAATGGCTCTGCTGGCTGTACTCATACCGCGCCCTCTGTCGTGCAATGAAGTTGTCCTGGAGATCAGTACACGCTTGGTTTGATGACTTGCTTTCGTCCCAGCTCCGCTGTACTGTAAGTAAGCTCTCTTTTACTGCCGAAGAATATCATCGTAATATTCTTTGAACTCCTCTTTCAAGAAAAGGAGCCAGGGCCTAGCTTGACATTGGCCTGGTTAGCCTTAGGTATAGTTTTGCTTGTTTGTAAAGTAGCTTTGTTGAGATAAGTTCAGAATGTGTTTATTTACGGTGAGCAGTTGCACTTGCCTACTACTAGGCCTAGGCCTACTACTGCTATTCTAGATAGGCCTACTAAGGCTAGGCCTAGCCTAAAAAAAAACAAAAAAAAAACAACTCTACATATAATAGGGCCTCCTACTACTAGGCTAGCCTAGGAGTAGTAGGCTAGCCCTAGCTAGGCATTGTCTTGTTTGTACTGGGCTAGGTAGTAGTATGTAGGCC